ATATACCAAAGTTGCAAAGTTGAGTTCGGGCAGTTAACATTTTCTTTATCCTCTGTCACTTAGAGTTAAACAAACACACAAAAAAGTTTGAAATAGAACAATTACCTATTCGCGGGGTATTTTCACCAGTAAAACAGATAATGGAAAATACAGAGCCATTTGAATTCTTCTTCAGCAGTGCCACTACTTTTTTACTGGTCTTTCATACTGTCTCACCCAGCTCTCCTAGCTCTCTGGGCTCCCCTAGCTCATTCAGTCTTGTAGTTTCAGCACCCTGCTGTGCATACTCACTCTCTTGCCCCTTGTTAGGGTTCACTTGACACCCTGGACTCAGCTAGTGATTCTGTTTTTCTCCTATCTGTCAGACTCACCTAGTCACCTTGAACCTCACAGCCCAATGGACTGAAATCTCTCATCTATCATGGAGTGCTGTCTCTTGAGTTGAGCACCTCTATCCCCTAACAGGACCACACACTTGTCTCTAAACAGGACCTGAGCTATGGTCAGGTCCTTCCTTATGCATCTACACACTCAGCGGGCTAGTCTTCTGCAAGACCTGGGTACTGGGTTAGAGATGTCTTCTCTCCCAAAGCACATAACAATCTCTAAACTACAGAGCCCAAACCCAAAATACCAAAAATCTGGAGAAAGTTGTAAAAGTCATTTCCATTACAAATGATACTCTGGAGTCCCGTGCTCTGCATATGTGAAAACCCTGTGTCTTTTCTACAATTATTTTCACAGTGGCAGGCCCTCGCACCGTCACACGTACCATCACTTCTTTATTGAACAAATGGAGTCTAAATTACAAACATAGACCTCCTGTCCTTTTGATCTTACTGGTCATCTAATTAAAGTGAATTATTTGTTAAAATTCCTTTATATTCTCAAGACATCTTCAGTTTTTTTCTCAAAAAAACTGTTTCAATGTATAGATTCCATTAACTCATCCTTTATTTGGAATAATACATATCCAAGAATAGCCAGAGCATCCCTAAAGGCAAATCCTAATAAGCGTGGGTTGGAGTACCCCAATTCTTTATAGCTTCTCAGCTTACTTATATTAAAGATCGGTTGCCAGTGGACATTTGTTTTTTGGCCTATCTTAAAGCACAGAACATTCTCTCCTCTTATCAAACCCATGTTACACCTTGAACACCTTTATGGCCCAATTACAGAATTAAAGAACTACATAGTCACCCTGACTTCTTTTAGTGGCTCAACACAGGTATTATTTATCTATCTCAGCTCTTTGACAAAGGCAATTTTATATCCTTTGGGGCATTTAAGAAGAACTATCACATTTACCTTACATTTTTATTAACATTTTTCTTCTACTGTGGCATGCAATTGGAGCTCATTTTGGCTCATTAATAGTGGAATTGTGTCGACATCTCCACTGGAACATTCATTGCATTGCTCTGGTCATGCCAAAGTCCTTTTATAAAAGTCTACCTTTTATAAATAGTATTTTAAGTGTGCAGCACTAGTGCTAACATATACATTAAAAATCAAATGTATACATTTCCAAACCTAAGTACCCTATATATCATCCACTATGTAAAAAACAATATATTTGCTCCACCAAATGTGAACTTAACATCCAAAGAATAACATCCACACAAAATTACCCTATGGGGGAGAAATTACTAAAACTGGAGCATGCAAAATCTGGTGCAGCTCTGCATAGAAACCAATCAGTTTCCATGTTTTATTGTCAAAGCTTAATTGAACAATCTCAGAGCGAGTGTGAAACAGGACCTAGTTGATGGAGAGTGTGATGAGACTAAAGCATTATGGGTGGAACTGCACATGGGGGTGCATACTACAAAGGTAATCATTGGAGTTTGTTATAGGCCTCCCAGTGTTAATGAGAGGAGGAGACTCAGCTCCTTGCACAGATCGAAAGGGCTGCAAGGGCTGGGACAGTGATAACAATGGGGGATTTTTAACTGTCTGGAAATTGACTGGAGTAATGGTACTGCGGGGAACAGTTAAAGGGCTAAATTTTTTAAACCTAGTACAGAACAATTTTGTGGTACAGTTCATAGAGGCTCCAACTAGGAATGATGCTCTGCTGGACCTGGTAGTCTCAAACCATGCAGATCTTATTACGAATGTCCATATAAAAGAACATCTGGGTAGCAGTGACCATAACATGTACATACGGGAAAAATAAAACCGCTCAATTTCAAGAGAGCTAATTTTCTGAGGCTGAAAGCTGCTCTCCAACCTAAGACTGGGAAGGAATATTGGCATTGATGAACACAACACAGAAATGGGAGTTCTTCAAAAAGACTGTATATGAACACACTGCAAAATATATTCCCATGGGCAACAAGTTTAAAAAGGCTAAAAATCAAACCTATTTGGCTTACGGCAAAAGTTAAAAAGGCTATAGATAATAAGGAAAGAGCTTTTATTAAATATAAAAATGAAGGAACACTATCATCATTTAAACATTACAAAGAATATAACAGAATATACAAAAAGGAAATAAAGCCTGCTAAAATTGAAAACAAATGACAGATTGCAATAGATAGCAGGACCAACCCCCAAAAATTCTTCAAATATATTAATAGTAAAAATGTTCGGTCTGAGCATGTAGGCCCTTTTACAAAATAAATCTAGAGTGGGTGACTGAGGACAAAGAGAAAGCAAATTTATTTAATACCTTCTTCAACTCTGTGTATACAAAGGAGCATGGGGGAGCTCTTGTCCATAATGGACATGGTATTGACACAGCTCCAGATGATCCACAATAGCTCACAATTGATATGATCTAAAAATATTTAGACAGTATAAAGGTGAATAAATCACCTGGACCGAATGGCATACACCCTTGGGTCCTTAAAGAATTGAGCTCTGTCATTTCAAAGCCATTTTTTCTAATTTTTAGGACACTTTAATGACTGAAATGGTACCACTGGATTGGCGTAATGCCAATGTGGTGCCAATATTTAAAAAGGGGTCAAAATCTTTACCAAATAATTATAGACCTGTTAGTTTAACTTCTATAGTTGGGAAGATATTTGGAGTTTAATAAAAGACCACATAGATGAGTTCTTGCAGGAAAAAAATATTTTAAGCAACAGACAGCATGGATTCATGAAAGACAGAATTTGTCAAACAAATCTGATTTCTTTTTATGAGGGGGTTAGCAAGACCTTGGACAGAGGGGTGACGGTGGACGTGGTATACTTTGATTTTGCAAAGTGTTTGACACGGTTCCCCACACACGGCTAATGTGTAAGGTAAAGCCTACGAGCTTGGAAAAATCCATATGTAAATGGGTAGAAAACTGGCTAAAAAATCATATTCAAAGAGTAGTGGTTAATGATTCATACTCTGAATGGTCTGGGGTCATCTGTGGTGTACCCCAGAGTTCAGTGTTGGGACCCTTACTTTTTAATATATTTATAAACGATATAGGGTCTGAGATTAAAAAATCCATTTCGGTCTTTGCAGATGACTTCAAGTTGTGCAGTGGAATAACGTCCTTACAGGATGTCTTCAACTTACAAGCTGACCTCAACGCACTGTTTAATTGGGCAGCTATGTGACAAATGAGGTTTAATTTTGATAAATGTAAGGTTATGCACTTGGGAGCTAAGAATATGCATGCATCATACATATTGGGGGGGGGGTACAACTGGGGGAATCAATGGTGGAGAAGGATCTGGGAGTTCTGGTAGATCACAAGCTTAATAATGACATTCAATGCCAAGATGCGGTTTCTAAGGTGAGCAAAATCCTCTCTTGTATTAAAAGAGGTATAGACTAAAGGAAGAAATTGGAGTGTATCTGGGTGCCAGATCACTTCCAAAAAATTGGGTAATATTTTAGAGCCACGTCCTAATTATAATAGTCATAGGTTGAAGGGAAAAAAAAGATAGAGGAGAGGTTGCAAATGGACTTTAGAGGCACAGAAATTCCAAACACAAATTAGTAAAATCATTTGTACTTTATTATGACAATAAGTCATGGAAAAACATCTTGCAGTTTAAAAGATCATAGTGATACTGTCCCCACAGACAATGTCCCACAGCCCACCATATACGAGGAACACCTTAATGATTGGAGACATAATAACCACCAGATGAATCCTATAGGGAGGTTGAGGACATTAAGCAGCAGGAAAATGGCCCGACAGTTTTGCGACAATGATTGCTTCTTCAGGGACTTAGTAGTAAAATATATATCAATATGCTCCATGCGCAAGGGGTAGGCCTCTTCTGTATATTCCACAAGGCTAGAGGCCGCTCAAAAGGCCAGATATGGGGGCGCAAAAATGGCTGACAGTCCAAACCCTCAATGGTCTTCAATAGGAGTATTTGTATCACAAATCAAGCCTTTCCACAGGAAGAAAATCCTCTCCTTCCATGAAGCAACAATTGCCAAGGAAAAGGGAGGGGAAGATAACCTCAAACATTCAAAAGCAGCTAAAACCGCCCGGGTCTGGTAACTGGCGGGATATCAAAGACTGGCACACCGGGCAGGACTCCGGGCAGCGGCCCATTGGGCAGGACTCCGGGCAGAGGGCCCATCGGGCAGGACTCCGGGCAGAGGCCCATCGGGCTGGACTCCGGGCAGAGGCCCATTGGGCTGGACTCCGGGCAGAGGCCCATCGGGCTGGACTCCGGGCAGAGGCCCATCGGGCTGGACTCCGGGCAGAGGCACATCGGGCTGGACTCCGGGCAGAGGCACATCGGGCTGGACTCCGGGCAGAGGCACATCGGGCAGGACTCCGGGCAGAGGCACATCGGGCAGGACTCCGGGGGCGACAGGCATCGGGCCCCCAGGCGGGGCGACAGGCATCGGGCCCCCAGGAGGGGCGACAGGCATCGGGCCCCCAGGAGGGGCGACAGGCATCGGGCCCCCAGGAGGGGCGACAGGCATCGGGCCCCCAGACGGAGCGACAGGTCTCGGGCCCTCAGGCGGAGCGGCGGGCGCCGGACCCCCAGATGGAGTGACAGGTCTCGGGCCCCCAGGCGGAGCGACAGGTCTCGGGCCCTCAGGCGGAGCGGCGGGCGCCGGACCCCCAGGTGGAGCGACAGGTCTCGGGCCCCCAGGCGGAGCGACAGGTCTCGGGCCCTCAGGCGGAGCGGCGGGAGCCAGACCCCCAGATGGAGCGACAGGTCTCGGGCCCTCAGGCGGAGCGGCGGGCGCCGGACCCCAGGTGGAGCGACAGGTCTCGGGCCCTCAGGCGGAGCGGCGGGCGCCGGACCCCCAGGTGGAGCGACAGGTCTCGGGCCCTCAGGCGGAGCGGCGGGCGCCGGACCCCCAGGTGGAGCGACAGGTCTCGGGCCCCCAGACGAACGCGGCGGGCACCGAGTCACCAGGCACGACAGTGGGCACCGAGTCGTCTGGCAAGACTGCGGGCACCGAGTCGTCTGGCAAGACTGCGGGCATCGAGTCAACTGGCGGAACAGCGGGCACCGAGTCGTCTGGCAAGACTGCGGGCACCGAGTCGCCTGGCAAGACTTCGGGCACCGAGTCGTCTGGCAAGACTGCGGGCACCGAGTCAACTGGCGGAACAGCGGGCATCGAGTCGTCTGGCAAGACTGCGGGCACCGAGTCGTCTGGCAAGACTGCGGGCACCGAGTCAACTGGCGGAACAGCGGGCACCGAGTCGTCTGGCAAGACAGTGGGCTCCGAGTCAACAGGCACGACAGTGGGCACCGGGTCATCAGGTATCGGATTGTCTGGCTCGACAGCGGGCATCGGGTCACCAGGTATGACAGCGGGCACTGGGTCACCAGGCATCAGGTCATTTGGCTTGCCAGCGGGCACCGCGTCATCTGGCAAGGCAGTGGGCACCGGGTCACCAGGTATGACAGCGGGCTCTGAGTCAATTGGCACGACAGCGGGCACTGGATCAGGTACCGGATCATCTGGATCAACAGCGGGCATCGAGTCAACTGGCCTAATAGGATCGTCGGGCTGGATCAGTTCATCATGCTGAGTAGCGGCATCAGGCTGAATGCAGGCATCAGGCCGAGTAGAGGCATCAGGCTGAAGAGAGGCATCAGGCTGAAGAGAGGCATCAGGCTGAAGAGAGGCATCAGGCTGAAGAGAGGCATCAGGCTGAAGAGAGGCATCAGGCTGAAGAGAGGCATCCGGCTGAAGAGAGGCATCAGGCTGAGTAGAGGCTTCAGGCTGAGTAGAGGCTTCAGGCTGAGTAGAGGCTTCAGGCTGAGTCACGGAAGGCAGGTCACACGGTTTGGATACTGGCAGGATGGTATTGGTTGGAAAGAATTTTCGCTTTTTTCTGGTTTTAACTACTGGAGCACTGCAAGTAAACGCAGGTCTGCAAACGAATGGAGCAGCTGGAGACAGAGAAAAACTGGAGGATGGAACAGGAGAGGGAGCAGTTTCTACAGAGGGCTTTTTTACAGGGTTAAAGGCAGGATAGGTGCAGCGAGTGGGAACAGGGTACTGACATGCGGTAGATAGCCAAGTATACTGGGCTGTAACTGGAGGAGCTGGTGGGAATACAGGAGTAGAATTATAAGCAGGACTGGGTTTTTGTAAGCTGACTGAGGCTGGGTGCAACAAGTCTGTCCATGTCTGCAGTATGGGTTGAACAAAGCTGAGCTTACACAAAGCCTGTCTGGTCAATGACTGCACTGCGTTTATACAATCTCTTAGTGTCTGTGGTGAACATGTGGAATAACGCTCCAGAAAGTAACCCACATCATCCTCTAATAACCACACCAGGGACTCTACCTGGTCTGCACTAAATGGTGGCAAAAATTCATCCCTGCATTCGGGGGAACCAGATGAAACCAACTCAGCACAAACCTCAATCAATGGCTGCACCTCAGAGAACTCTGTGCCCTGATCTACTAGAACATGAGCGAGCCGTATACATTCTAGTAGTTGATCCCTGGAATACTCCTTCAGAGTTTGATAAGCATACTCCCTGTCATCAAACACTAGCAGATATAAATACACAACCTCATCCAGATCCATCCTTCCCAGCAACAAACCAAGATGGCTTCCCTGTGCAGCCACTACTGGTCAGGATTGGCCTTGGTGTAATGTCAGGGCTCCCAGGTGTGACCAGAGGTGTGTGACTGACGCAGGGAAACGCAGACTTCAGATATGTGATAAACAATATAATTTATTAACACTAACAATACAAACATAAACGCAGTGCAATAATAAACATAATACAGTGCAAACAAACCAAACCAACCACCCACAGATAACAGTACATACAAGCAAGCGTCGTCAGGCAGGCCGGGTCAATACCAATGGGCAGGTAGGTACAGGGGGAGCAAGCGGAGATTGGTCGGGGTCGCAGGCCAGGTTCAGCAGGTAGCTAGCAGAGTAGTACAGAGGGTCAGGCAGAGGGATGGTCAGGGTCACAAGCCAGGGATCAGAACAGGTAGCAGGCAGCGTAGTACAGAGGGTCAGGCAGAGGGATGGTCAGACAAGCCAGGGATCAGAACAGGTAGCAGAGAATCAAACAGGAACAGAGAGCAGGAACAGGATACAGGGCCCAAGAGAAACACAACAACCAAGGCAGAGTCTGCAAGTCTGGCCATCCCTTAAATACCCCAGCATAATCAGTTCCAGGTGTTAGCTGGCTGCAAAGTTGAGTCTCTGATTGCTGGGAGCATCCGCTGGCCAGCCCTGGTACTGCAGATCAAAAGGCAGGTGAGTCCCACCATTGCTGGCTAGTTCATTCCTGACAGGTGGGCTGTGGGACATTGTCTTCAGGGACAGTATCACTATGATCTTTCAAACTGCAAGATGTTTTTCCATGACTTATTGTCATAATAAAGTACAAATGATTTTACTAATATGTGTTTAAAAGAGGTATAGACTCCAGAGAGAGAGCGATATCATATTACCCCTGTACAAATCATTAGTAAGACATCATGCAGTTCACTTTTGGGCACCAATTCACAAAAAGAACAAACAAATTAAAAATTCCTCCTGCGCTTTATGGAGTTCCTATATAGATAAGCTGCTGACACCCAATACTGTAACCTTATACAGCAAACCAGACAAAATAGATCATATAGTGCAGCGCTATTAAAATGTCATAATAATAATAATAGCTATAATATGATTCAAATATAACTAATCAGAAGGAAATGTCACACGTGCTCTTATAATAGACATGCAATAGGGTGGGTGGTTTATAGTCCTGTACCAACTTCAGAGCTAATATTAACGTAATCACTTTAACATGCGTGATAGCCAGTACTAGTCCCTTTACATCACACTCAGCAGGCTTGATTGGTGAATGTCAATAGTGGCCAAAGTGAAGCACTACATTCCTTTTTGAACAGTTCATACATAAACAATCGTGCTCAACTTGAATAAAAAGCATGCAGGTGGCAATACCGCATCTGAAATCCAGTGATGGTCAACACACTCCTCCTGTGGCTAGATTGCCCCCTCACCTTAATTCTGCGACCCAATAGGCCCTCACGCCTTTAAGATCACTAAAGGATCTTTCTCCCAGGGTAGATAACCTCAGCGAAGCTTCTGTGGACCCCTCAGTAATGGGTAAGTTTTCAGGACACTCTGGATACTACTTTCAACTAGGAAGGTCACTCATCATAAACCATGATGAGTGAGAAAAAAGCTTCCATATTGTAGTAATTCTTGTAAAGATTGAGTATTTAATTCAAATAAATACTGCTCACTGAAATAGGATGATACTTCACTTCAATGGAACGAAAACCTCATGCCTGGATGATGCCTTACCCATTACTGAGGGGTCCACAGAAGCTTCGCTGAGGTTACCTACCCTGGGAGAAAGATCCTTTAGTGATCTTAAAGGCCTTCTACGGTGAGAATTATACTCACTGTAGATCCAGCGATAAGGCATCCCAAAGCTCCCTGTCTGGCTGCAGACATCTTTGGGCATTCAAGTCTCGAACATCGGCTGTTTTCATTGGTTGGGCTGGAATGATGTCACTCTTGTGAATGCGCGAAAGTACAGGCATGTAGACAAAGCATGTCTCTTCTACATTAAAATTCCTGCCTGTTTACCCCTTTTAAAATTGTTTAGCTAAAGTTCCACTTTAAACTGTGTCTTCAAATACAAAATAGTGATCCATCTTGTGCATAGTGCTCCAATTTTTAAAACCAAGTACTGAATACGTGCTCACCTTAATGAGTGGGAGTGGGAATGTTGTTCATCCATTGTGATAGCATTAAAAGTGCTAAAAAAATGTAAAGTTACAGTGTAAAAAAATAAATTAAATAATAATATATTAAAAAATAATTATCGCTCTTCCCATTCTGGTGTGCTCATGCAAATGAAAATGCATGCATTGGTCCAGCACACACTATATATAAATATATATATATATATATATAAAAAACGTTGATTGCACCTCAGATGTGAGGTATCGCTGCGAACGCCAGAGTGAGAGCATTAATTCTAGCACCAGACCTCCTGTATACCCTTGTAACCTTTAAAGGCTTTTAAAGGAGATTTTTAGGTATCAAAGTTTGGTGTTGTTCCACAGGCATAAGCAGTTTTAAAGCATGACATGTTTGGTGTCTAGTTACTCGACATAACATCATCTTTTACATTTTACCAAACAGTTGGATAATATATTGTGTTTTGTGCATTAAAATGCATTAAAGTGTATTTTTTCCCAAAAATTTGCATTTGAAAAACCACTGTGCAAATACCATGTAACATAAAAACATATAACACCCACCAATATATTCTCTAGAGCCTCTGCTTAAAACATACATATAATTTTTGGTGATTTTAAGTGGTTTTCTAGCAAAAAAAAATAGTTTTTTACATGTCAGGGATTAATGTCAGAATTAAATTGGAAGTGGTTAATAAACGTTTTTTTAAGATGGAAAGTACTATGATTCATCTGTGATTCTTGTTCTATGAGTGGTTCCCCTAACCTTTGAGGGGAAATGAAGTGCCCCAAAGATTGGTGAACAACTATCTAGCTTGCACTGCATAAATATGTGCCTGACCCACATTCAAACCAGGGTCATACAGATTAAGGTTAGAGCACATTTCGCATGGTTTGGAGCATAATACTGGTCTGTCTAAGGATGCATTTAAGAGCACATTGGACTGCAAGCTAATATGGGTCCCACTCATTAAGGTTAGCACATACCCACTACTTGGTGGTAAAGACTGGAGTACTGAACATGAGGTGTAGCACTATTTTGTATTTGAAGGCACAGTTTAAGGTTGAATCAATGTAAGTGTTTTGGTGGGGGTTACAATTAACAGGTTTTAAAAGCTATCTTTGGACCTGAGTTGGGTTCTGGAGACAAGGTGGGACCACACCCATTTTCTTAATGGGACTGCACTTGGTGGCACAGATTGGAGTATTGTGCACAAGGTCAAGCACTATTTTTATTTGATGACACAGTTTATGTTTCAATATTTTAATTGAAAGATTTCAGTATAAAACAGGGAAGGATGATAAAACATGGTACGGTAATACAGTTCACGGTCAAGTACATCAATACATTTTGTGTGGAATAAATTCCCCACCATTTGGCTGGGGACCTTATACACGTGAGTCGCATTGACCTGAGAAGTATGCTCAGTGTGATGTGAACCGTATATGGGTGAACATGTTATATAGAGAGGGTAAGGAACAAGGATGGGAGGGTAAGGCGGGGAGGGGAGGAGGGGGGGGAGCAAAAGCACCAGTCAAGGGTAAAGGATCTTAGAAATATATATTTAATTTATCAGCATTTTACGGAACAGCGTGGGTTCTGTAGCCATCGAGACCATTGGTGTTTGAACTTGTGGTAGGGAGAATTATTGAGGGCTGATCTTCTTTCCATATCTGATTGGAAGTTAAGGTCTGATACAAGTGAAGAGAGAGAGAGGTAATTTTGGGAGAGTTCCATAATTTAGTAAGGTTGGTCTTAGCAGCTGCTAATGTATGGATAATAATAGTACGAGAGTCTCTGGGGAATTTGTAAATTCCAATGTGGAGGAGTGCAAGGGCAGAATTTGGTGTTACTGGGGTTTCAGTTATTTATTTTATTTATTTCAGGTACTTATATAGCGCCGTCAATTTCCGCAGCGCTTTACACATATATATTGTACATTCACATCAGTCCCTAACCCTCAAGGGATGTACAATCTAAGGTCCCTAACTTACATTCATACATACACATATTAGGGCCAATTTAGACAGGATCCAATTAACCTACCAGCATGTCTTTGGAGTGTGAAAGGAAACCGGAGTACCCGGAGAAAACCCACACAG